GCACTACATACTGGATCCAAGCGCTGCTGGATAGAAACACTGGAGCGGAGTCAGTGAACTGCTAATATCGGAGTGCTTACATCAGACATTTTTTATGCAGGCCGATAAAATCCGATACTCGTTTTTTGGCTGATATCGGACCGCTAACCGATATCAATATCGGATCGGGACACCCCTAGTGGAGGTGTTGTGTCCCACTCTTCTTTACAGCATTACTTCAGTTCATTGAAGTTTCCAGAGTATTTTTTCCACAGATCTCTTCAAGTCCCACCAGACTTCAGTCAGGTTACAGTTTGGACTTTGGTTCGTTGCAACACTTTAATTTTCTTTTAAGCTTTTGTAGATTAGCTSCTGTGGTTGAGGTTATAGTTCTGTTTTATGACCCCGCTCACATGGTTGACTTAATRATTATAAGATGTAAAACAAGCCCAGATCATCAGCTCTCCACCACCATGCTTGACTGTTAGGATGTGCTGTGTCTAGTTGTCTTCAATCACTGTGCAGTGCATTATGGGTAAACGTCTCTAMCTGGGTTTCATCTGTTCAAACAACACTGTTCCAGAAGAATCAGACGAATCTGTACAGACCAAACTGGTTCTGCTGTGTTGGTTTTAGAGCAGTGGTGTGGTCTGTTATACGTAGGATTTGCGTGTTACCACTTAAGCACACTGATTTCTGATGCAACAATGCAAAAAATTAGCCGTCTAAAATAAGTTCRAAACTAGATTATATTCTGAATCTTCTTTAAATTAAGCAAAAATAATCTGTCCAGGCTAACAAGGTTATTAATCTAACATATTCTGCTCTTGCTTAGTGTATGAAGAACAGGTGAGCACTTTGTCCTGGAGGTGTTTCAGCAGAGCACTTTAAGTCATCGGCTGACGTTCCTGTCAGTCTTTCCTGCAGACTATCATCCTGTTCTACAGTATAGAAATGTATGCAACTAGTGAATGTACCCCTWCTGCACTATTTTGTAAATATTTCTATATTTATATCTGGTTGACGTCCTCATGTCACGTAACTGCTGCTGCTGTTAACCTGTAATTTCCTGCAAAGGATAAAAAAACTGTTTTATCTAATCTGTATCTACAAAAGAGGATCAGGACTACTACAAAAAAATTCTGACTTTTTTCTCAGAATTCTGACCCCACCCCCCATATATATTTTTTTACTTTGATCTCATAATTCTGAGGAAAAGAATTTCCTCTACCGTATATATCGGCTTCAAAATAAGATCATTTGATTAAATAAGCTCTACTTTAAACCTGGTCGAGATCAGATTAGTTAAAAATGTGCCTTGTTTTTCATGCAACCGAATCGAAGATGAATTCATCCAGTATTACATGAAAATCCAGGTTTAATTCCTTGTGAAACGTTTTTGCAACAGAMCCCTGATCTTTAAAACCCCAGCATCAAGAGGGAGACTGTCTGTTTTTCCCCTCATGGACAGTTACTGTTCTGGACAAAGCGGGGGAGTTGYACTTCAACTATTCAAAGAAAGTTAGGGATATTTGGTTTTTGGCAGAACACACAGTTAAACCTTTTCCAGGTGAACTAAATGACCTCTAAACCTTTGAATGCACAGGTCCAATCCTTCAGTGTTTCGTATTTTATTGCACAATTTACAAGGAGCATAAATGCAAAACTCACCAGAGCTGACCATTGCATTTCCTGGTTTGACTTCTGATCACATTTGAACATCATGAAACCAAGACGACACCAAACAACCGGAACAGAACTTCACCAAAACCCCTTACCACGGCATTAGTGAGTAGTGTGCTTTTTAATCACGTGTAGCTTATTCCTCGAGGGTGAATTTGGTGTTACTACAAAAAAACGTGACTGACACGAGGATGATGAAAGAKAAGCTGTCTGAAAATATTTCCACACAGTTGCCCAATTGTGCCTCAGTAAACCAACACAAGTTGAAATGTTTCAGGCGTTCTTGTCAAACAAGAACAGTCTGGATCACAGCTGGACTGTTGGCAGGTGTTGGGTGTAGTAAACCGGAATAATCCTTGAACCAACACATTTGAATACTCAGATTACCCCTCTTTTATTTTATTAGCTTGGTAACTGTTGTATTAAGCAAAATGGTGAAACTGAAGCCACTTTTTAAACTTTTCCWTCCCCGAATATTTTAATAGTGCAACAAAAACTAACAATAGGCTACATTAATTAGTTAACTAATTTCTAGAATCTGGAACCGTACTKCTCTGCTGAAAACACTGGTCTACAAGGCGAGCACCTCAGTTTTTACCAGTTTGAGTTGTATTCAAATCTGTCCACACGGTTCRTGAGATATTTGTATTTCTAAGATGTTCTGCAATGAGTGGTGCTTGGAGCTTGTGTTGAATCAGTTTCAGCTACCACCTCACCAAATATTGGCTGAACTTATGTAAAACCTACTGAGTTGGAACCGTTTCTGAGTTTTGTACAATGAGGTCACTGTGGCGGCTATCTTGAATTGGGGTTGACTCCTAATCAGTTGGTACCTCCAGCAATTAGTTTTAGTCAAACCTGCTCAGAGGTTCATGAGATGTTTTGCTAAGACAGAAACAAATATAATATTATGGTGGGCGATAATAAACCATGAGTTTGATGTCTGAAGTTTGGTATTTTTGATGTTCAAAGACTTTGAACCCAACATAAGTAGGCTGCTACACTTTAAGCCCTGAATATTCAAATCTAGATGTTTCTATATGAGTAGAAATGACCTGAGCTGTACCGTGTACCTCTGACCAACTCTATGAAAYGTTTCTCTGATAGGAAGGTATGAGGGAGGAGTTTAATTGAAACACGTGRAGGAAGTTGAAGCCAGGAGAGGTTTTCCCAGCCTGTTCTGAGACACGTTCAGAGCTGAGATAAGAAGAAAATTATTTCCAGATGGACGTATTTACAAAAGATAAAACCTGTGAACCTACTGAAAAGCAAATATTCAAGATGTTCCCAAATAAGATAATGCAAGAAACACAACGATTACAAGACTGAAAAAAAAGGTGTATTTATTTACGCTGGAAGTTGCCAGGATTAGTGGTGCTTGGTGTGAACTTTATCTTTTTAGCTCTACATACGTTTCTGTATGCGTTGTTTGTAACAAAACGGTGACGTTTAAGTAAAAAACGTAAGAAGCAAACATTTTTAAAGTAATTAGATGCTTTTACAAACAACTTTTAGTAGAATAGAGGAATAACGTATTAAATCCAACATGTGAGAAAAATCAGAGACGACTAACAAACGGTTCTTTCATTGATTCGTTTCATTCAGTCTTTTAACAGAAAACTGTAGATATTTAATTTTTTGTGCCCAAATTCTGAAAAAGTTGGGCTTTGGGTCAAATGAAAACGGAATGTGATGATTTGCAAATATCCCTTGGGTTCTGTGTTTGCTCTGTGCCTCAGATAATTATTGGTTCTCTGCAGGTAAAACAATCCACACTAAACAGATTTGCTCCATCGCACACAGGTTCACATGTTGTCATCAAGATGACTCTGAATGACCTCATTGTTTGACCCKGGGAACATTTATTTTGTCTTCTTGAACTAAAAACAGGAAGCGGATTCATACTCTTGTTTTTTTTGTGCTTTTGTTGTTTTATTTCTTCTCCTTTTTAGTTGCACTGCCAACTTCTAGTTTGAATATTTTGTTTATTAGCAGAATTCAGTTTATCAATATACTGCAAATTAAAGTTCTGTTCAGGAAGTATTTAAACCTACGGTGGCCCGTAAGGGTCGAAAAACAAAATGCAAAAGCCACAACGAAAGTTATACTAAAATGGATGTTGTARTAAAGCAGAAGTTATGCTAAAGCAGAATTTGAATATAGAATGGAAATATAATATAGAAATTCTACCAGGGAATTCAATAATAAAGTACTCAGACTAATTTAATATTTGAAAGATGATTGTTTGAAAGAATGAATTTTTGTTTTATCTTGTTTTTTTATTTGACCACAGATCCAGTCCACATAAATACCAGTAGGTGGCAGTAATGTTCTACATCGTTATTTGTCAACCGACAGAAATAACGATGTAGCACATTACTGCCACCTACTGGTTTTTATGTGGCAGTAATGTGCTTCATCGTTATATGTGCTTCATCGTTATATGTGCTTCATCGTTATATGTGCTTCATCGTTATATGTGCTACATCGTTATATGTGCTACATCGTTATATGTGCTACATCGTTATATGTGCTACGTCGTTATATGTGCTACGTCGTTATATGTGCTACGTCGTTATATGTGCTACGTCGTTATATGTGCTACGTCGTTATTTGTCAACCGACAGAAATAAACTAAGAAGAAGACCAGAAGTTTTAGCTTAACTTCCGTTGTGTCTTTTGCATTCTGTCGACCCTTGTGGGCCACCGTATAAACCCACTCACACATGGACCAATTCAGTCAAAATCAAAATATAAAATGCTTTGCATAAATTTTTTTAAAGAAAAGTATCTTAAACTTCAGATGTCTAAATAAATGTTTTTTTCTTTAAGGTGAACAAATATCCTTGTATTACTTCAGGTTACCCAGGTGGTTATTCYACGCCCCCTTATCCAGCAGGGGGTTACCCTGATCCCAGTCAAGCACCTCCTCCAGGCTTCAACATGGCCTACAGTCCGGCTCAGCCTGTTATGTATCAACCAGGCCCGATGGGACCCAGTCCAGGTCAGGGGCCGGAGTATGGCGGTCCACCGATGGGGATCTCATCAGCCCCAGCTTCTGTCCCGACTGGGGTCCCACCAGGACTTGAATACCTCACACAGGTAGGTCAGACGAAAAAAGGCACATTTCCTAAATTCTATAACAGTACTGTATAACTCTTTTCACTGAGGACCAGATGAATGGTGTCCTTAAAGGGCCAGTTGTAATTAATGTCACYGTTTCATGTTTAACTTCAACTAAACAGGAAACGTGAYGTTCCTGAGCACTGCTAACAAACCCTAGATGAGCTCTACATGGTGTTTCCTGCATAKAAACAGTTTTAACACGTCCTCCTTTATATGGTGTTCTATTTGTGCCGTCAGCTTGAGCGCGCAGTAACGCTGATTTGAGAGCAGATATCAATATGAACAAACAATAATTTGAACTGTGTGCACTCAAACAACACGCTCACGCAGCTCCCTCCCTGCTTGCTCAACTCTCTTCCTGATTGTGCTCGACTCCTTCCCTCCCTCCTCTCAACCTCCCCTCTACTCGCTCGCAGCTCTGTCTCTGCGCTCGCAACCCAAGTTATATGTAAATGAACCACATCACCAGCCAATCACAGACAGGGTTTTTTCATCCAATCAAAGCACTTACAGCGAATCTACTAAACCAAGAGGCTGAAGTGACAAAATCTTAGATGCAGGCCCATTAAATAAGCAAAAGATAATAATAAGATATATTTTATATATTTTGAAGCCCAGAATATTTAGTTAAGCCTAAAATATGCTTACTGTCATTGTGTATTTTAGGCAATGCATCTCTGTAATCCAGGTAGAAAAAAACATAAGTTTAACTTAACTTTTTAAATTATTATTATTATTATTATTATTATTATTATTATTATTATTATTATTTGTTGTTGTTGTTGTTAGGCTCTTATAGGCAATATTTTTAAATTACATTAAGATGAATTACTGTTGATTTTGATATTATTTGTAGATATTCGAATTAATTTATTAATCCCTCTTCATTGCTGATATTCTGTTGTATCAAGAGTGCTTAATTTGAATATCTACAAATAATATCAAAACCAACAAGTATCCTAATCCTAATGTATTTTATAAATATTTTCTAAAATACACAATGACAGTGACCACATTCTTATGCTTAGCTAAATATGTATTGTTGGGCTACAAAATTTTAACATATTATCTTTTGACAAAAGATAATATGTTTAAATTTAAATATATCACCTTATGCCAAAAGTTAATATAGTTAAACTTATGTTTTTTTTTTCTACCTGGATTACAGTGATGCATTGCCTACAAGATATATAAAATATATCTTATCTTTTACTGATTTAATGGGCCTGCATCTAAGATTTTGTCACTTCAGCCTCTTGGTTTAGTAGATTTGCAATAAGTGCTTTGATTGGATGAAAAAACCCTGTCTGTGATTGGCTGGTGATGTGGTTCATTTACATATAACTTGGGTTGCGAGCGCAGAGACAGAGCTGCGAGCGAGYAGAGGGGAGGTTGAGAGGAGGGAGGGAAGGAGTCRASCACAATCAGGAAGAGAGTTGAGCAAGCAGGGAGGGAGCTGCGTGAGCGTGTTGTTTGAGTGCACACAGTTCAAATGATTGTTTGTTCATATTGATATCTGCTCTCAAATTAGTGTTACTGCGCGCTCAAGCTGACGGCACAAATGGAACGCCATAACTATAAACCCTGAAAAGTACTATGTTTACAGCGGACTACGTGTGAAAAAATAATATAATAGAGATACTATTAAAAGTAAAAGTAGGAGAGTTACTGAGTTGTGGTGAGCAGCTGCTGTCTTGAATTCTGAAATTTCCCATTTTCAGACATGGAATTCCCACTGGAGGGTCCTTTTAGTTTAAGTTTACAACTTGTAAGTGGGATATTTCCCACTTCCCAGTACAACTGGAACACAGCGAAAGTAGCCGGTGAAAATGAAGTGAAATGGAGATAGTGCACGGTGAATTTTGACAACTATCGGCTGTAATTTTCTGGGAAAAAATAATTAACATGCATTATGGGAGATGTAGTTTATGGTCAGTGCTGGCTAAAGACCATATTTCATTTTTGAAGCTCTCACAGACCACATAAAATGTCATGACGGGCCACGTTTGGCCCGCAGGACTTGAGATAGACACGTACTCTCGAAAATATCCAAATAAATCTGCTGTGGTTGTTGTTTTCTGACCTACAACTTATCATTAACAGCATATAATGGTACTTTTTCTTAATTTTTTTCAAAATAAGGTGAAATATTTTCCTTTTTAATAAAAAAACATTTGTTTCATGTTGTTTAAAGCTACTGGCTTTCTTTTTTTGTTGCTGTAAGCATAATAGTGCAGATAAGTTTAAAAAGTGAAGCTTGATAGTTCAGATGGAATCAGTTATGGAAATATGGGTGTTYACTGATTTGCATTGCAAACGTTAAAATACCTTCATGTGTTGAAGCTCTCTGATGACAGGAAGTAAATACGTTGTATGAATAAAGTTGGATTGATCAGAAAATCATGTCTTTTTGTAAATAATTTTTTAGATCGATCAGATCCTGATTCATCAAAAAGTGGAGCTCCTGGAAGGTAAGACCTCTGTCCMGTTCACGGTCCTGAAAAAAGTCTTTATCTGAACGTCACGTTTCAACGCCATTGCTTCTCCTCCCGCCCTCGCCCCCAGCGTTCATCGGTTTCGAGACCAACAACCAGTACGAGATCAAGAACAGCCTGGGCCAGAAGATCTACAAGGCCAAGGAGAAGAACGACTGCTGCACCAGGAACTGCTGCGGCTCTCTGCGCAGCTTCGACATGAAGATCAAGGACAACACGGACCGAGAGGTCATCCGCCTCATCCGGCCRTTCCGCTGCGTCTCCTGCTGGTGTCCCTGCTGCCTGCAAGAGGTCCGTTTCTGCTGGGGGTTTATAATATATCTGTACTTTTACCACGCCAAGTCAAATCTTGTTCTAACTTACAAACTGYAGCACTCGCTCCAGATTTGACTGATTCAATACATGTAATATTTACCTAGGTGAATGTCTGAGTTATTTAACTCCACTCACTGATTAGGCTCTAATGTGAACAGATATGGTTCAAATAACACGAAAACGCCTGATAATTTTTTTTTCCTGCAGGGTGAGGGTTGTTGGTGTARAGTTTTACAACCCTGTGGTGAAAGGTTATGAATGATTAATATCTTACAGGTTGAGGATAGCTTTCTGAACGAGCTCCGTTTTGAGAAATTGAGTGTAAATTTGACCTTATTGATTAACTTATGGAAAAAAATACTCATTCCAAAAGAATTTCAAAGCACGTTAGGTCAGTTGATTGTGTGCGTTCAGGCAGTTTGTTTGCTTTTTCATTTGAAACAAAAACTTAAAAAAAAAACAAACGTTTTTTTCTTTTCATTTATTAAAAAAATTGGATAATAAACCATTAGTCGACTTTCCAATTTATGCAGTAAATTAAAATGGGGGGGAGATAATTACCATTTAATTAATTAATTTTATCTAAGTGGCCTGACGTGTACGTTTTTATCAGCCTTACATACGCTGTGTAGAGTTGTATGTGCATGTCCAAAACGGCACAGAATTCATTTGATCATTTTTACTCACAGAAAAAAATTAAATCCTGAATATGTGAATTAAAAACACAAAAGTGCAGAGAAAAGTCAGAGAAATCGCCGTCCAATTGTGCTGGTAGTCAGTTTGTCACATTGGGACGTAAGCTCTGTTTGAGCAGTCAAATTTTTTTATTCAAAATTTTATTTTGGTTTAATAATAAAAAAATGTAGTTTTTTTTATTTCTTTTTTTTCTTTTTCAAAAGAACAAAGACACTCTTGATGTTCTTTTCCGTTAACAAAAATGTTCTTTGCATTTCGTTGTCGCCAGCTAGAGGTGTGGCGTAGGAAATTCAGTAAAAAATTTTTGTTTGAGTGTATGGACATGGATGAAAATGGAATACATAAATTAAGAAAAAAATAATATCTGTAGTTATTTTTGATGGGACCGTAGAATTTATTAGGCCACTGCGTAGTTACGAGTGCGCTTAGCCAAACCTGACCCTTCCAGGTCACAGATCACACGGGACAAACGCTGCCATTGGGGTTTAACAAATCCAACAAGCTGAAAAAGCAGATTTTTACTTTAAATATATTTATAAAAGATCTCATCTATGGTCTTAAAGGAAAGTTTAAAACAAATCAGTTTAGAGCAAACACATTGGGTCAACCATAATGACCTAAATCCACTGGTTGAATTTGTTCAATTCCAAAAGTGTTTCCATAGAAAACTCAACGTTTATCTAAAAAAAAAAGAAAAAAAAAACACGCCAGAGCTTGCTATGCTTTGCTCATTTATAACTATTTGTAACAACGAAATGAGGCCAAGATCAAAGTAAATTGCTGCCATTTTAAGAAACAACAAATTTTCGTTACGATTCATGACGAGTTTTCTTTACATGAATGTTTACCATGATTCTGGTGTTACTGTGGCTTTAGTGCACTTGATGCAACCAGGGGACACTTCAGCAGGAGTAGCTTCATATTTCTGCAGGAGTAACCATGTAATGTGAAACCGATGTAAAGATTGATAAAGTAGAYGACAGAGCTCCACTTTAGTCTTGACTCAACTCAGATCTATCATTAGATCATCAGTCCTGTCAGCCYGTTCAAAATGAGCTGGTTCTAACTAGAACTAACCAATAAAGTGGTATTAGTTGGCCATAACCTTTCTAAACAGCTAAACTATTCCTTTATGTGAATTTGTTGTTTTGCTCTGACAGCAGTTTGATTTGAGCATGAAAGACCCCCTTTGTTCCCCCAAATGATCTCCTGTCCCCTCACTGAGTCTTCTGTTTGTCCTTCCCCCTGAATCTGCGCTCCGCACGTTCCCACCGACCGAAACACTCAGAGTTCTGTTCACGACTCATTTAGGAGCCATGTGAGCTTCGTTACCTTCGTTACGCAGGACGGCAGGAATGATAACCGGCGCTCCAATCGCTCCATTGTTTAACCCAACAAACCGTGTGACCTCGCCAAGTCTTATTTGTAGCGGTCTGTTTGACTTTCTCCTCTGCTTGTTTAATTCCAACATGTCAACAATAGCTGGAGGTCCAGGCTCCACCGGGCACCACCGTCGGGTACGTCAAGCAGGACTGGCACCCCTGCCTGCCCAAGTTTTCCATCCAGGGCCCCAACAAGGAGACTCTGATGAGACTGGAAGGGCCCTGCTTCGCCTGCAACTGCTGCGGGGACGTCAACTTTGAGGTAAAAACCCAGATCTGTAACGAGWTAACGCTCTTTAAAGGGTCTGTGACATCAAATTTTTGTAATAAACATGAATGCGTTTTTGGAAAGATAACATTGATAACATACTGCAAAACAAATTTCACACCATTGAGATGAATGGTTGTTGAGATATTTGCATGTGAAGAAACAGGAAGTGATGTCACAGGGGAATGTCTGCATGTGAACAGAGCATTGTTACAACAGCTGATAACAGATTGTAGAGAAGAATCGGATGTTTCTTTAGATTATTTTTAGTCACTATCAAAGAGAGACGAAGGTGAGTTAAAATTTAAATAATTTTGTTATATTAAGCACAAACCAGCGAGTTTATTTTATTAAAGAGTTCCCCTTTGATGTCACTTCCTGTTTCACTTTGGCTGAGCCAAATTCGAAAGAATATAATGCCAGTTATGGGACAAAATGGGTAAAATAATCTGTACAATGYCAGTTAAGTATAAAGATGTTTTCTTTGAGTTTGTTTTTGAAGAATAGGCATGTCACAGGCACTTTAATTTAAAGAAAGCACTTTGTGTGGCTCTTCTCTCAGACCTCTGCAGCCAGGCTTCATCCAGTCGAGGATGAACACCAAATTCAATTTCTGCTAATAGCATGTCTCAGGTTACATGTGGTTTACAGACTGATAGCTTGGTTATTAATGTAGCTCTGCACATTAGCGGAAACACTTTTACTGCCTCACTCTGACTTTTTTTTTTTTTTTTAACTCCAGTCAGGGCTTAGACGATGTATCGCAATAACATGAGATCATATCTGTCTGGAAGATCACAAAGGGTTAGTTTTAAAAATGAGCTCTCTGAGATAAATACTGTGGGCTATGGGGTCCCACAAGGGTCTGTGCTTGGCCCCATGCAATTCTCTCTCTACTGCCTCTTGGTCTTCTTTTGCGTCATTTTAATGTGGCCTTTCATTGTTATACTGATGACTTGCAATTGTATATGTCTTTTTCACTTGGAACCTGCACCGATCTATCTAACCTTACAACCTGCTTAACTAAAACAAGGAAATAYGATTATATTACTCCGGTGCTGTCATCTCTCCACTGGCTGCCTTGCCATGTTCGTGCAGATTTCAAAGTGCTTCTTCTCACCTATAAAGCCTTACATGGCCTAGCACCCCCCTACCTTTCAGACCTTCGCCACCCTTAGATTCCATCTTATGCTCTCCGATCTCAGGGCACTGGTCTGTTGGTAATCCCTAAGGTCAGACGTAAAACTATTGGAGGTCGTGCTTTTTTCTTTCGTGCTCCTATATTGTGGAATGATCTCCCTCAAGACATCAGGCTGGCCTGCTCAGTGGAAGTTTTTAAAGCTAATCTGAAGACCCACCTGTACACTTTGTCTTATGTGTCTTAAATTTGACATTTGTATTTAACTTTTTTTCCCAATGTTTTCTTTTTTAACTGTTCAGCACTTTGTTGAAAGCACTTTATAAATAGTTATT